TTCATAACGAGAATCTCACCACAGACTTCCCAGCCACAGAGACAGACTGGGCCATCAGTATAGTTATAGCATGCAGGACTCTCACTGGTGTGGGGAGTAAAAATGCTTTGGGTAGAGACCACATCTTTCAACTGTCAATAGACAGGTAGACTGAGATTGAGCTTATTTTCAGCATTTCCTCTTTGGCAGCTGTCAATGTGGAAACCTTTAGGAGGTCATCCAATTCTGGCAGGTATTCAGTGCTCTGCAAGAGAGTGAGGAAAGACCAATGAATTTGGACTCTGGAATGGTTTGAAAGGGATGGAATGACATTTGTGAAATTATACTATGAGGGATGGATATAGCGTGGCAATATGATGAGGGTGAAGATCAGTTAGGTTGGTAATAGGGGGAGATGTCTTAGCACAGAGAGAAAGATAGAGCTGCAAGGTTTGCTGACCTGCCTTGCAAATGTAAAACAAGCGGGTTTACATTCCCCTGTGTGCATTGCACACACCTTTCCCGTCTTGAGTTAACTGAATACTTCACAGCACTGTATCCAGGGGTGAGGCACTGCACACCTGGACTTCAATGGGATGAGGGAGGAGTTGGCTAAGGTAGACTGGAAGCAAAGACTGAATGGTGGGACAATTGACGAACAGTGGAGGACTTTCAAAGTGATTTTTCACAGTGCTCAGCAAAAGTATATACCAGTGAGAAGGAAGGTCTGTAGAAAAAGGGAGAATCGGTCATGGATAACTAAGAAAATAAAAGAAGAATCAAATTAAAAGTAAGGACATACAAAGTGGCAAATTAGTGGGAAATTAGGGATTTGAAAACTATAAGTGTCAACAGAAAGACACAAAAAAGCTATAAAGAAAAGTAAGATGGATTATGAGAGTAAACTAGCTCAGAATATAAAACATAGATAGCAAAAGTTTCTACAAATATATTAAATGAAAAAGAATGGCTTAGGTAAACTTTAAAGGATGAGAACAGGGATTTAATAATGGAAAATGAAGAAACAGCCAAGTCACTGAACAGGTATTTTGTTTTGGTCTTCACAGTGGAAGACACAAAAATGCCAATAATTGATGACAAGGAGGCAATGGTAGGTGGGGACCGAGAAACAATAATTATCATTAAACAGGTATTGTTGGGCAAGCTAATGGGGCTAAAGGTAACAAGTCTCCTGGCCCAGATAGAATGCATCCCAGGGTACTAAAAGAGATGAACGGGGAAATAACAAATGTGCTTGTGCTTACCAAAATTCGCTGGACTCTGGGGTGGTTCCGGCAGATTGGCAAACAGCAAATGTGATGTCACTGTTTTAAAAAAGGAGGTAACAAAAGGACGGCAACCATGGGTCCATTAACTTACCTTCTGTAGTAGGGAAAATGCTTGAATCTATAATCAAAGAAGAATTGGCGAGACACCCGGATAGAAATTGTCCCATTGGGCAGGCGTAGCATGGGTTCAGGAAAAGGTCAGAAATCACCAAATTCCTTTCAAGTCACTGACCTGAGAGATTTACCTATACATATTAATCAATTAAAACCTTCTAACTGATTAAAGTGCAAAGAGACTTGGGAGTTCTAGTCCAGGATTCTCTCAAGGTAAACTTGCAGGTTGAGTCAGTCCTCAGGAAGGCAAATGCAATGTTGGCATTTATTTTGAGAGAACTTGAATGTAAAAGCTAGGATGTACTACCGAGCCTTTATAAGGTGCTGGTCAGGCCACATTTAGAGTATTGTGTGCAGTTTTGGGCCCCATATCTCAGGAAGGAAGTACTGGCCCTGGAGCGCGGTCAGAGGAGGTTCACGAGAATGGAAAGCTTAACATATGAGGAATGTTTGAGGACTGTGGGACTATACTCATTGAAGTTTAGAAGGATGAGGGGGGATCTAATTGAAACATTCAGAATACTGAATGGCCTGGACAAAGTGGATGTTGGGAAGACGCTTCCATTGGTAGGAGAGTCTAGGACCCGAAGGCACAGCCTTAGAGTAAAGGGAAGACCTTTTAGAATGGAGATAAGGAGAAACTTCTTCAGCCAGAGAGTGGTGAATCTATGGAAGTCACTGCCACAGAAGGCTGTAGAGGCCAGGTCATTGAGTATACTTAAGACTGAGATAGATAAGTTCTTGATTATCAAGGGGATCAAGGGTTACGGGGAGAAAGCAGAAGAATGGAGTTGAGGAACTCATCAACCATGATTGAATGGTGGAGCAGACTCGATGGGCCGAATGACCTAATTTCTGCTCCTGTGTCTTATGGTCTTAAAGACTTAACAACATCTTAGGTATGTTTAATATATCCTCATCAGTGGTGTGATCCTTTGATCTTTTACTTATAAATTTTGTATCTGATACCACCTCTCTCACTAATACCTGAAGGAGGAGCAACTTTCCGAAAGCTTGTGTTTTCAAATAAACCTATTGGACTATACCCTGGTGTCATGTGCTTTCTGACCTTGTCCACCCCAGTCCAACACCAGCACCTCCACATCATGGATTCAGGAAAGGCAGGTCATGTTTAACTAATTTACTGGAATTCTTTGAGGACATCACAAGTGTGATGGACAATGAGAAACTTGTGGATGTAGTATATCTGGATTTCTAGAAGGCATTTGACAAGGGTGTCACGAAAGGCTGCAGCATAAGATAAAGGTGCACAGCATTGCGGTTAATATATTAGCATGGATTGAGGATTGATTAACTAACAGAAAGCAAAGAGTGGGGATAAATGGGTGCTTTTCTGGTTGGCAATCAGTGGCTAGTGGTGTGCCTCAGGGATCAGTTTTGGGACTTCAATTATTTACAATTTACATAGATGAAAGTTGGGGACCAAGTGTAGTGTGTCAAAGTTTGTGGATGACATGAAAATGAATGGGAGAGCAAAGTATGCAGAGGACACTGAAAGTCTGCAGAGGGATATTGATAGGTTGAGTGAGTGGGCAAGGGTCTGGCAGATGGAATACAATGTTGGTAAATGTGAGGTCATCCATTTTGGTAGGAATAACAGCAAAATGAATTATTATTTAAATGATGAAAAATTGCAGCATGCTGCTGTGCAGAGGGACCTGGGTGTCCTTGTGCATGAATCATAAAAAGTTGGTTTGAAGATGCAGTAGGCAATTAAGAAAGCAAATGAAATATTGTCCTTCATTGCAAGAGGGATGGACTTTAAAAATATTGAGGTTGTGCTGCAGCTGTATAGGATGCTAGTGAGGCCACACCTGGAGTACTATGCACAGTTTTGGTCTCCTTACTTGAGAAAGGATGTACTGCACTGAAGGAGATGCAGAGGAGATTAATTAGGTTGATTCTGGAATTGAAAGGGTTGCCTTGTGGGGAGATAGAGTAGACTGGGACTACACTCATTGAAATTTAGAAGAATGAGGGGGGAATCTGATATAAACATATGAACTTACGAAGGGAATAGATAATATAGAAGCAGGGAGATTGTTTTCACTGTTGGGGGAAACTAGAAGTTGGGGCATTTAGGACTGAATTGAGGGGAAACTTCTTCACCCAAAAGGTTGTGAATCTGTGGAATTCCCTGCCCAGTGAAGCAGTTGAGGTTTCCTCATTGAATGTTTTTAAGGCAAAGATAGACAGAGGTTGTATTCTTGCTCACTGAGCTGGTGTGTTTGCTTGCAGACTTTTTATCACCCTGCTAGGTAACATTGTCAGTGCGCCTCTGTTAAAACATTGGTGTTCTGTCTCACTTGTTATTTATATACCTCGGTTTGCTGGAGTGGTTGACATTACTTATGGTTCTGTTTTTGAGTGGTTTTTATATGGGGTCCAGTGTTTGTTGATGGAGTTCTGGTTGGAATACTAGGCCTCCTGGAACTACTTTTTGGCTTGTGCTATCATGGATGTGTTGTCCCAGTTGAATTCGTGTCCTTCTTTGTATTGAAACCAGTGAGAATTAGTCGTGTCTCTTGGTAGTTAGTTGGTGTTGTACCTAGTGTGTATCCTCATTGTCAGTTTTCTTCCAGGTTGGCCTATGTAATGTTTCTCACAGTCCTTGCATGGTATTTTGTGTATTACATTAGTTTTATTGGTTGTGGGTATGGGATCCTTCATGTTCATCAGTAGCTGTGGCAGGGTGATTGTTGGTTTGTGAGCTACCCTAATACCTAGGAGTCTGAGTAGTCATATGGTCACCTCTGATATGTCTCTGATGTACAGTAGGGTGACTAGTGTGTCTGGCTGTGATGCGTCTTCTTGCTGTAGTATGTCGTGGTGGTAACAGCGGATTGTGCTTTTTGGGTCTCCGTTCCTTTTAAAAACTCTATATAAGTGTTCCTGTTCCGCTCTGCACAATTCTGGATAGCAGCAAGGTGTTGTGGCTGATTTGAATGATGTCCTGATGCAGCTCCGTTTACTGGTGTCGAGGTAGTTGCTGGTGTAATTAAGTATCTTGTCCATAAATGTCGTCTTTCTATATATGCTAGTCTGAGTTCCCGTTGTTCTTAGGTTCTACCATTATGTCTAAGAAAGGAAGTTGGTTAATTGTTCTCTTCTTCTTTGGTCAGCAACCAAACTCACCGGCTCGGCGAGCAAGTCTACAACCTCATCCACAACTCAAGCTACAAATCTTCTCAAAAACTTTAAAAATAAATAGATTTTTGAACAGTAAAGGAACTAAGGGTTATGGTGAGTGGGCGGATAAGTGGAGCTGAGTCCACAAAAAGATCAGCCATGATCTTATTGAATGGTGGAGCAGATTTGATGGGCCAGATGGCCTACTCCTGTTCTTATTTCTTATGTTATGATCTTATCACTGTTGCTACTGACCTCCTCAGCCACTTTTAGCAATGCCAGTGTCACTTTCCTGAAACAAAACCTGCCGCATCCATCAATTGGGGCCATAGAGTAACATGTACAGATATAGACATAAATGTGAACACAGACACACACAGTTCCTTAAAAATAAACAGAATTCCTGGCCTAGAGTATTGATGTTGTGACTCACTGCACTGCTAACATTTATCTTCTACTGCCTTCCAGCTCAGCCACTTTACCTATCACATTTCGATGCCTGGAGGACAAAATTGGGCTGGATAAACGAATCACCAGATTTGTGCTGCCTGTGGGTGCCACAATTAACATGGACGGCACTGCACTGTACGAAGCACTTGCTGCTATCTTCATTGCACAAGTTAACAACTTTGAACTCAACTTTGGACAAATCATCACCATCAGGTAAAAGTGACTTTTAGTCAAATAACCACAATTACTCCTGGAATATAAAGACATAAATTTCAAAGTATTATGTGACGATCCTTGTCCTTTGGTGAAATGTCTATATTTTCTTTTTGTGATATGTCTTGTGTCCAAAGTGAAACTAAATTCTGGCAACGTATCCTCAAACATCTGAGAGGTGCTCATGTGATCTAATCGTATATTGTATTACAAGTGGTCTCAAGACCCAGAAAGGTATATCTCTACGAGTAAAACAGCGGAGGTGGTAGAGGCGGGCACGATAGCGTCAGTTAAGATGTATCTAGACAGATACACGAATGGGCAGGGAGCAGAGGGATAGAGATCCTTGGAAAATAGGCAACAGGTTTAGATAGAGGATCTGGATTGGCGCAGGCTTGGAGGGCCGAAGGGCCTGTTCCAGTGCTGTAATTTTCTTTGTTCTTTGTTCTACCATCATCAATCTTTTTGGTAACTTCTTCAAAAAACTTAATCAGGTCTGTGAGACACGATTTTTCTCACACAAAACCATGCTGACTATCCCTAATCGATTTTTGCCTCCCTAGATGTCCATAAATCCTATCTTTTATAATCACCTCCAAAAATTTATCCGCAACCAAAGTCAGGCTTACATATCTATAGGCCTTGGTTTCTTTTTACAACCTTTCTTAAACAATGGTACAATATTGGCCACCCTCCCGTCATCAGGCATCTCAGTAATAGTAATAACAGTAATGGATTGTAATAAAAGCAAGAACAGTAGAATGCAAAAATGGTGGACAGAATAATCTAAGGTGAGAAGCAAATAGGACCACAGTACAAGGAAAATTTAAGATGATTAAAAATGGCAAATCTAAAGGCTTCAGAAATTTCTGAAGAAGAGTCCCGACCCGAAACGTCAATTTTCCTGCTCCTCTGATGCTGCCTGGCCTGCTGTGTTTCTTCAGGTCCATACTATGTTGTCTCTGACTCCAGCATCTGCAGTTCTTGCTATCTCTAAACCTAAAGGCTTTCTATCTTAATGCAAGAAGCATTTAGAATAAAGTAGATAAACTGAGGCCCAAATTGAGGTAAATGGATATGATCTATATAGACAAATGGTTAAAAGGCGATTAGAACTGGGAATTTAACTTTCAGAGATATTTGACCTTTTGGAAGACAGGAGGGAAGAACAAGATGGTGGGGTAGTGCTGTTAATGAGAGATGAAATGAGTACAATTGTGAGATGATCTAGCCTTGGATGTAGAGTTCATTTGGATAGAGGTAGGTAACAGCAAGGGAAAGAAGACATTGATAGGAAAATACGCAGACCCCCAAAGAGTAGCTATACTATACAAAAGGGTATAAATCAACAACAATCAGTAATCAGAACCATGTAAAAAGAATAGACCAATAATTATGGATGATGCTAATCTTCATGTTGATTGGGTCAATCAAGTTGAAAAGGGTAGGTTTAACTACGAATTCAGAGAGTGCATTAGGGATAGTTTCCAAGAGCTAAATGTCATGGATCCACCCAGGCAGCAGGCCACCTTTGATCTGGTAATGAGTGATGAAGCAGCTTTAATAAATGATCTCAGAGTAAAAGATCCCCTAGGAAGTAGTAGTTACAACATGATAGAATTTTTTAAAAATAAGAAAAAACTGTGGATTCTGGAAATCAGAAATAAAAACAGAAATTGCTGGATAAATTCAGCAGGAACAGATACTTAGTTGAGACAGGATCAAGACTGGCAGCCAGGATATGGAGGTTTCAGGTGACATAAAGGGAGATGTAAAAGACGTAGAGGAGTAGGGCACGTGCGTTACTGATAGAGGGTGACTATCACAGCTGTACTATGGGAGGACACTTTGGAGGGCTCATCAAGCGAGGCTATATGGGTACAGTTCAGGATAGGAAGGGCACAATCCCTTTGATAGGATTGTACTGCAGGCCTCCCAACAGCCAACGGGTGATAGAAGGACAGATTATGGAAAAATGTGAAAATAACTTCCCCCATATTGACTGGGACTTCCTTATTGCCAGGAGATTGGATGGTGGGGGGGGGGAGGCCTTTTTTAGTTTTGTCCAGGGCGGTTATCTGAAACGCTATGTGATTAGTCCAATGAGAGTAAGAGGCCATATTAGACCTGGTATTGGGGAATAAACTGGCCAAGTGATTGAAGTTTCAGTGGGAGAGCATTTCAGGAACAGTGACCATAATTCTGTAAGTTTTAAGTTACTTATAGAAAAGGATAAGTGTAGTCCTCAGGCAAAAGCATTAAATTGGGGGAAGACTAAATACCACAATATTAAACAGGAACTGAGGAATGTAGATTGGGGGTGGCTGTTTGAGGGTCAATCCACATCTGGCAAGTGGGAATCTTTGAAAGACCCCCAGTTGATTAGACTTTAGACCAGCATGTTCCTGTGAAAATGAAGGATAAGGACGGCAAAACTCAGGAACCTTGGATGACAAAGAGAAATTGGGAGCTTAGTCAAAAACAAAAAGGAAGCATACATAAATTTAGGAACTGAAGAAAGCGAGAGCCCTCAGATTACAAAGATAGCAGTAAAGAACTCAAACAAGGAATTAGGAGAGCTAAAAGAGGCCATGAAATGTCTTTGGCAAAAAGGATTAAGGAAAATCCCAAGATGCTTCACATATATATAAGGAGCAAAAGGATAACTAGGGAAAGGATAGGTTTACTCAATAACAAAGGAGGGAATTTATGCATGGAATCAGAGGACATGGGTGAGGTCCTTAATGAATACTTTGCACTGGTATTCACAAAGGATAGTGAGTCTTGGGAGGAGTATGTTGATATTCTGGGGCATGTCAATATAAAAAAGGAGGATGTGTTGGGTGTCTTGAAAAATATTAAGGTCTCAGGTGAGGAAATTGCTGAGGCCTTGAATGAAATTTTTAGATTCTCTTTAGTCATAGAAATGGTCTCAGAGGATAGCCAGTGTTGTTTCTTTGTTTAAGAAGGGCAACAGGAATAATCCAGGAAATTACAGGTTGGTAAGCCTTACATCAGTGGTAGGGAAATTATTGGAGAAGATTCTTAGGGATGGGATTTACTCACATTGTTGGAGATGGAGCCCAGAGAGAGAGAAAAACAGTTCAGGCAGAAAAAGGAATGGGTAAAGGTAAGCCTGGGGAGAATCAAATGCTGCTAATGAGGACCATTAGTAGGTGGCAATAGGTTGTTTGTGGGTTTGTGGATTGTTTGTGGTAGCAGCTCAAGTGATGACAACATCTGGTATGTGGAGGTTGGTGTAAGTACATCAGAAAAGGTGCTCAAGCCCTAAAGTTGTTGAACGCAATATTGAGTCCAGAAGACTTCAGTGTTCTCAAATGGAAAATAAGGTGCTGTTCCTTCAGCTTGTGCTGAGCTTCGCTGGAGCACTGCTGCAAAACTGAGACAGGGGTATTGGCCAGGGAACGTGGTGATGTGGGTCAACTGAAAACTCAGAGTCATTTTTTCATACTGAATGTAGATGTTCTGCAAAGCAGTCATCCATTCTGCACTCTGTCTCCCCAATGCAGGATTTTACATTCAGTTTGAAAGAACTGCGTTAAACTTAAACAAAGCGAATTACATTGAAATGAGGAGACAGTCTTTGAAAGTGGATTGGCTATCGCCTCCCACATACCTGTCTACTGTTCTGTGCCTCCTTGCACATTTGAATGAAGTCCCTGATTGCTGACACTACAAGGCCCTCTGCCACCTGGAGCTAAACAGGTGCCTGGTCTCCGGCAGTCGTCGGAGTGCTAGTGGCCTGGAGCATTTCATTCAGCTGCAGTTCTGTCAGAGCTTCTGGTCAGCTTATGTTGCCAAACATTCTGAACCTAAACCAAGGAGACAGTGTTTGAGCTGGTGGGGTGTACAACTTTCTTCTTCACAAGTCAAGGACGTTCCTTGTGGCAGAGCAGCCCATTCTGTGCTGGGCACCCACTGGCAGTTGCAAGACACAAGAGGGAAGTGGCATCACGGCCAATGGTTAGAAGTGATATACAATGAATGGCATTGACAGCAAGGTTAATGTGAGAGTTGCAGTGTAATGAAGGATATCACTCAGTTAGTGAGATGTGTACATCTCATCATTCCCGCAGGAGTGGCTCTAGTCTTCTCCTGTGATGGACAAATTTCTCTCATAGTACTGGGTGAGAACCAGATGTTAGGCAGCCCCATCTGTCCTGGCACTTTCCAGGCTGTTTTCGCTTGTAATGAGGGACAGGGAGGGATTGAAAATGCCTGATGTAGCCGTTAGTGGATGACAGCAGCCTTTTAAAATTTGTGCAGGTGCCAGGGACGCCAATCTTTCAGGAGACATCTGATGAGTTGTAAGTTCTTCTGGAAATGGTGGGTATTTTCATAGGCTAGAATCGGAGGCATCATAAGATTGGGGTAGGCAGTTATTAAGATGCCTTTGGTGAAATGAAGTGAGATCTTGCTATGTATCATAGAGAGAAACCTTCTGTGAAACACGATGAACCTAACATATAGACAAAAATACCCACAGGATTCAGCCCTTAGTGTTAATAAGTTAACCAGTCTTAAGCTAATAGAACCTGTTATCTTACTATGATGTAATAAACTACTCGTTAGTTATGTTTGTGCCACTTCTGCCAAAGGCTGACTGTAGTTAATCCCTTACCACTTAATACAAGTTAGCCCTGTTAACTGATTTTATACAGGAAGGACTGGTGGTGGCAAATCTACCCAAAGAAGATCCCAGCAGAACTGGATGCCAGCTGTAGGAATGTCTTACAACATGGTGCCAGTACTGCCAGAGGTGAGGGATGGTACTAGGTGGGTTGCTCTTTCAGAGGGTTAAAATGGATAAGAAAAGCCAAATGGCCAATCTTGTGGCGTAACAATTCAATTATTCTGTGATTTTAAGCTGCAGGATGATGGGGAGAGAGTGGGGCAATGGTTTACTTTAGGATCGATCCAGGGTTCTGAGGAAAGAAGGCATGCGAGTTTAGTTTGGTATTGTTGCAGGGCTAGGAAAGAGAATAGGGTAATGAGACTAGTTTGGGATTGATGCAAGACCATGGGGAGAAAGCGGGCAGTGGGACTTATTTGATTTTGCCATTACAGTATATTAGCTTTCTCATGCTTATGTTCATTGTAAACAATTCTATTCTTCTGAAACTCAGCAAAAAGTTGGTGTGAGGGCAGTGGTTACAGGTTTTCTGCGACATTTGCCATTGTGAAGAAGTCCACTCCATCGCCAACAGTCTGATCAATTTTACAATGTTGTTAGCTTTGATGTGAATTATTCTGGACAAATTGTTTAATGCCTTTCTTTTTCTCTTCCAACCAGTATCACTGCCACAGCTGCTAGTATTGGTGCTGCTGGCATCCCACAGGCAGGCTTGGTTACCATGGTGATCGTACTGACATCGGTTGGGCTTCCAACAGACGACATCACTTTGATCATTGCGGTGGATTGGTTCCTGTGCGTATGTCTTTACCAAGTATTTACATCACAGAAATAGGCCATTTGGTCTACTAGTTCATGCTTGTTTTCATGATCCATACAAACCCCCTCCCAACACAACATCATTTGCTTCTATTTTTTTCTCCATCATGCTTGCTTCATTTTCCCTTCAATAAATCACAGAATCATACAGTACAGGAGAGCCCTTTGGCCCATCATGTCTGTCCCACCAAAAATATACTACTACCTACGCTAGTCCCATTTTCCCAAACTAGGCCCACAGCCTTGAATGTTATGACACGTCAAGTGCTCATCCAAGTATTTTTTCAAAGGTTTGTCACCTCATCTACGCTTCTAGGCAGTGCATTCCAGACTGCCACCATGCTCTGGGTGACGATGTTTTTCCCCAAATCCACTCTAAACCTCCGGCATTTCACTTTAAAATTATGCACCCTTGTTATTAACACTTCAATGAAGGGAAACAGTTGCTTTTTCTTCACCCTGCAATGCCCCTCATAATCTTCTACACCTCTACAGTTCTCCCCTCAACCATCTCTACTGCAAAGAAAACAATCCAAGCTTATTAGCCACGATCAAATGGTGGAACAGACTTGATGAGACGAATAGCCTAATTCTCCTCCAATATTTTATGGTCATATCCGTATCCTGGAGGCGATGGCCTGGTGGTATTATCACTGGAGTTCTAATCCAGAGACCCAGATAATGTTCTGGAGACCTGGGTTAGAATCCCACCATGGATGGTGGAATTTGAATTCATTAAAATATCTGGAATTAAGAAGCTAATGATGGCCGTGAATCCATTGTCGTAAAAACCCATCTGGTTCACTAATGTCCTTTAGGGATGGAAAATGCCATCCTTACCTGGTCTGGCCTACATGTGACTCCAGGCCCACAGCAATGTGGTTGACTCTGAACCCCCAATAGGCAATAAATGCTGCCTAGCTAGTGAAGCCCTCATTCTGTTAATGAATAAAATCAAAGCTTCTCTTCCAAATTGAAATGCTCCATCCCAGGCAATATCCTGGTGAATTATAATGGAGAACAAAAATACAGCAGACCAAATAAATACATATTTTGGTTCTGTCTTCACAAAGGAAGAAGCAAATAATGACTGCCAATTAATTCTTTATCCATGTCAGTACACTATCCCCAATCCCTCGTGCTTTAATTTTACATGCTAATCTCTTTTGTGGGATCTTATCAAAAAGCCTTATGAAAGCCCAAGTAAACCAGATACACTAGCTCCCCTTCATCAACTCAACTAGTTACATCCTCAAAAAACTCCAGGACACTTGTCAAGAAGCATGATATCCTTTTTGTAAATCCATAAATCTGTCTGATCTTGTCACTTTATTTCCAAGTGCTCTGCTGTTAAATGTTTTACAATGGACTTGAACATTTTCCTCACTACCGTTTTTAGGCTAACCAATCTATAATCCCTGATTTCTCTTTACCTCCATGAGGACGGCCTCAACCGGGATCTTGGGTTCATGTCGCAATAAAGGTGACCCCACCGCACATTACACTCTCACACACGCACACATACATACACACACACACACACACTCTCTCTCTCCCCCCCACACACACACTCACACTCTCTCTACCCCCCACCCATCCCCGTCACACACACATGCACACACACATGTGAATGTATGAGGTGAATTTGCATTTGCAGATACATTCTATTGTGGTCAAAAGGCACACAATTTAAAGATAGTCAGTCAATGTGGTGTTTTATAACTTCCTAATTTAGAAGTAAAATAGCCTGACTCTAAAGCAAAACACAAACAGATTCTAAACAAGGCCTAACACGCATTGTCTCACCTAAAATGCCACCTCTTCTTTACACTGATAAAACCTTTCGTTCTCTCGGGGCAGTGACTTAAAAGAAATTCAGGGATTTACATATACATATCAATCAATAAAAACCTTCTAACTGATTAAAGATTTAACAGCAGCTTAGGTTTGTTTAATACATTGGGAAATGCAGGGTCTGGTGAGAAGGAGAAACTGAAGTAAATCAGTATTGGCAGGGAAATGGTGTTGAGGTAATTGATAAATCCCCATGGCCTGATAATCTACATCCCAGAGTATATAAGAAAGTGGCCCTGGTCACTGGGGAGGCCATGGCCTAGTGGTATTATCGCTAGACCCAGAAAATATTCCGGGGATTGAGGTTTGAATCCCCACAATGGTGGAATTTGAATTAAAGAGAAACCCTGGAATTAAAAGTTTAACAATGACCATGAATCCATTGTCAATTGTTGGGGAAAATATCATCTAGTTCACTAAAGTCCTTCAAGGAAGGAAACTACCATCCTTATCTGGTCTGACCTAAATGTGACTCCAGATCCACAGTAATCTAATTGACTCTTACCTGCCCTCTGGGCAATTAGGGATGGGCAATAAATGCTGGCCTAGCTAGTGACATCCACATCCTGCAAATTAATTTATAAAAATAGTGGATGCATTGATGGTCATCTTTCAAGATTGTACAGATTCTGGAACAATTCCTATGAACTGGAGAGTGGCTTATACAGTTCCACTACTAAAAAAAGGAGAGATGATGTGGAGGTGCCGGTGTTGGACTCAGGTGGACAAGGTCAGAAATCACACAACACCAGATTATTGTCCAACAGGTTTATTTGAAAATACAGCTTTTGGAGCCTTGCTCCTTCTTCGGGTGTTAGTGAGAGAGGTAGTATCAGACACAGAATTTATATGTTAAAGATCAAAGGGTCACACCACTGATGAGAATGTATTAAACAAACCTAAGATGCCGTTAAATCTTTAATTAGTTAGAAGGTTTTTATTGATTATGTATATGTAAATCCCTGAATTTCTTTCAAGTTACTGCCCCGAGAGAACCAAAGGTTTTATCAGTGTAAAGAAGAGGTGACATTTTAGGTGAGACAATGCATGTTAGGTGTGAGGCCTTGTTTAAAATCTGTTTGTGTTTTGCTTTAGAGTCAGGCTATTTTACTGCTAGATTAGGAAGTTATAAAACACCACATTGACTGACTATCTTTAAATTGTGTGCCTTTTGACCACAATAGAATGTACCTGCAAATGCAAATTCACCTCATACATTCACATGTGTGTGTGCATGTGTGTGTGACAGGGATGGGTGGGGGTAGAGAGAGTGTGAGTGTGTGTGTGAGGGGGGAGAGAGAGAGTGTGTGTGTGTGTGTATGTATGTGTGTTTGTGTGTGTGTATGTGTGTGTGTGTGTGTATGTGTGCATGTGTGATTGTATATTGCGGCGGGGTCACCTTTAGTGCGACATGAACCCAAGATCCCGGTTGAGGCCGTCCTCATGGAGGTAAAGAGAAAACAGGGATTATAGATTGGTTAGCCTAAAAACGGTAGTGAGGAAAATGTTCAAGTCCATTGTAAAATATTTAACAGCAGAGCACTTGGAAATAAAGTGACAAGATCAGACAGATTTATGGATTTACAAAAAGGATATCATGCTTCTTGATAAGGGTCCTGGAGTTTTTTGAGGATGTAACTAGTTGAGTTGATGAGGGGGAGCTAGTGTATCTGGTTTACTTGGGCTTTCATAAGGCTTTTTGATAAGATCCCACAAAAGAGATTAGCATGTAAAATTAAAGCACAAAGGATTGGGGATAGTGTACTGACATGGATAAAGGATTAATTGGCAGTCAGAAACAAAGAATAGGAATAAATAGGTCTTTTTTTGACTGGCAGGCAGTGATTAGTGGGTACCACAGAGATCAGTGCTAGGACACTACCTTTCACAATATAAAATAATGATGTAGATGTGGGAACTATATGTAATATCTCCAAGTTTGCAATTGACAGAAAGCTGGGAGGGAGGGTGAGCTGTGAGGAGAATGCACAGATGCTTCAGTGTGATTTGGACAAGCTGAGTGTGTGGGTAAATGTATAGGATATAAAGTATAAACATGAGGTTGTCCACTTTGGGAGCAAAAACAGGAAGGCAGATTATTATCTGAATGGTGACAGATTGGGAAAGAGGAGGTGCAGTGAGACCTGAGTGACCCTGTACACCAGTAGGTCACAGTAAACATGCAAGTACAGATGACGATGAAGAAAGCCATGAGTTGTTGGCCTTCATATTGTGAGGATTTGAGTACAGGAACAGGGATTGTTGCAATTGTATAGGGCCCCCATGAGACCACAATTGGAATACTGTGTGCAGTGTTGATCTCCTTACCTGAGGAAGGATGTTTTGGCTATGGAGGGAGATATGCAAAGGTTTACCTGACTGATTCCTGGGATAGCAAGACTGATTTGTGAAGACTGGTTAGGACTATAGTCACTTGAGTTTTGAAGAATGTGGGATGATCTCATAGAACTTTATAAAATTCTAAAAGGACTGGACATGGTAAGTGTGAGAAGGATGTTCCTGATGACCAGGGAGCCAGTGGAAGGTGTTTCAAAAGAATTAATATTATACACGGCCAATTTATACCTCTTAGGGACAAGAGATCGTGTTGATAAAGACAGCTGTGGAATACTAAAGAGGTAAGAGGCAACAAAACAATCACAAAAAGCAAACAAAAAGGCAAAAGTAAAGCAGAGATTCAGGTGTTTATCAATGACACAAAGAATAATAAAAGGTTAACAAAGAGTTACTGAAGTTATGGAGACAGATTGGAGAAGTTAGGACTGTTTTATTTGGAGAAAATGCTGGGAAGGGAGTTGTTAGAAATATTGGTGATCATGATGGATTTGGACAGAGTAGTTGGGGAGAAACTACCACTCTTGAGAAAGGATTGAGACTGAGAGGTCACAGATTTATGGTAATTGGTGAAAGAAGCAGAAGTGACATGAGGAAAAACTTCTTCATTCAGTCAATCAGCATCTGGAATGCCCTGTGATTGTGGTTAAGATGTGTCAACTTAAGTGCTGTAAAAGGAATTTTACTGTTACCTGAAAAGGGTTGCGGAGAAGAAGCTGGGAGAAAGGCTGTACATCAGTAGTTCTTTCAGAGAGCTGGTGCAGACAGAATGGGTCAAATGGCCTCCTTCTGCAATGTAATAATTCTGGGTGACAAAGCACAGAACAAGGGCTAAGGAAAACAAATACGAAAAGAAATTGCACAGAATTTCAGAAGCAACTCAGAAAATATTTTCAATTACATTAGGGCAGCACGGTGGCACGGTGATTAGCACTGCTGCCTCACAGCGCCAGGGACCCAGGTTCAATCCCAGCCTCGGGCCACTGTCTGTGTGGAGTTTGCACATTCTCCCTGTGTCTGTGTGGGTTTCCTCCGGGTACTCCGGTTTCCTCCCACAGTCCAAAGATGTGCAGGTTAGGTGGATTGGCCATGCTAAATTGCCCGTAGTGTTCAGGGAAGTGTAGAATAGGGGGATGGGTCTGGGTGGGATGCTCTGAGGTTCAGTGTGGACTTGTTGGGCCGATGGGGCTGTTTCCACACTGTAGGGATTCTATGATTCTTCCTCCATTGGAAAAGAGATTAGCAGTAATGGGGAAAAACATATATATTGGTGGTATTTTCCTCTATCTTCCTTCTACTCCTGAATGATTGCAGATTACCCCTATTGATGTGATTGATCCTTCATTATCTTTCATCTCCATCTAAATGGATTCGATTTCTGCCATACTGACATTGTGGTTTCTCTTCCCACTGTGCTCTCTCGGCTAGGTACAGCTACTCAAAATCCTCTAATTCTGATAAAACAAAGAAATGTGAATATTGGAGATCTGAAACAAAAAACAGAAATTGTGGGAAAACTCAGCCGGTCTGGCAGCATCTGTGGAGAGAAAGCAAAGTTAACATTTCAATTCGGTGGCTGCAGGTTCTGAAGAAGGGTCACCAGACTCGAAATGTTAACTCTGCTTTCTTCCCACACATGCTGCCAGACTTGCTCAGTTCCTCTTATTTTCATATTTTCTAAATAGTTCATACACTGCAATATTTAACTAAAATTCTCATTTTCTGTAGCTATATCTAGTACACACGGCTGATGGGTGTGTGTTGCTAATTGACTTTGTAGAGATCGACTGCGCACCACAACCAATGTACTGGGAGACTCATTGGGAGCTGGCATTGTACAGCACCTCTCACGTCATGAGCTTCAGAAAATGGATGCTGAGGGTTGCAACTCTGTCATTGAGGAAAACGAGATGAAGAAATCCTACCAACTTATCTGCCAGGACAATGACAATGAGAAGCCCACAGACAGTGAGACCAAGATGTAGACATGGATGAATACCAGGTTGAACCCATCCTCTGTTTCAATCAATCTCTCATACTACATGCATTCAAGCTGATCATGTCAGATAGGTTGTGTTTTCTCATGTTAGAGGCTAATCAGAAATTGTTACTTTTTAAATTTGAAACATTTGCTGTATACTTTAATTTTACTCTCACATGCTTAGTTCTATTATACATCAATGACTGTGGGTACAGTAGGTCCTCTTAGGTCTCTAAAGTATGGATACAGATCGTTTTGTCAAACCCATCCATGTTGACCAGATATCCTAAATTAATCTAGCCCCATTTGCCAGCATTTGGCCCATATTCCTCTAAACCCTTCCTATTCATGTACCCATCCAGATGCCTTTCAAATCTTTCCTCTCTTAGCTTAAACCTATGCCCTCTAGTTTCCCTGGGGAAAGACCTTGGTTATTCACCCTATCCATGCCCCTCATGATTTTATAAACTTATTATAAGGTCACCCCTCAGCCTCCGACAGTCTAGGAAAAACAGTCCCAGCCCATTCAGCCTCTCCCTGTAGCTCAAACCCTCCAGCCCTGGCAACATCCTTGTAAATACTTTCTGAGCGCTTTCAAGTTTCACAACATCCTTCACCCTAGCAGGGAGACCACAATTGAATGCAGTATTCCATTGGTGGCCTAACCAATGTCCTGTACAGCTGCAACATGACCCTCCCAACTCCTATACTCAATGAACTGACCAATAAAGGCAAGCATGCCAAATGCCTTCTTCACCACCCTGTCTACCTGTGGCTCCATTTTCAAGGAACTATGAACCTGCACTCCAAGGTCTCTTTGTTCAACAATGCTCCATAGGACCTTACCATTAAGTGTATAAGTCCTACCCTGATTTGCCTTTCCAAAATGCAGCACCTCACATTTATCTAAATTACACTCCAGCTGCCACTCCTCAGCCATCAGCCCACCTGATCAAGGTCCCATTGTACTCTGAGGTAACCATCTTGGCTGTCCACTACACCACCAATTTTGAGCCATCAGCAAATGTTCTAACCATACCTCCTATGTTGACATCCAAATCATTTATATAATTGATAAAAAGCAGTGGAACCAACATCGGTCCTTGTGGCACACCGCTGGTCACAGGTCTCCAGTCTAAAAAGCAACCTGCACCTCCACCCTCTGTCTCCTACCTTCGAACCAGTTATTACTTTTACTTACAATCGGGCCTGTTTTACATAGCAGTACTGTTTCATACAGTCAGCTATGTTATACTGAGTTGGTCCTGTCAGTCATAGTCAGTCCTGTCGTACAGGACTGTTTTACATACAGATGGTCCTGTTGTGTAGAGTCAGTCCTATTATACAGTTAATCTTCTTTTCCAATTAGAGCTATTAATATAGTCAGTACCTTGTTGGTCCTATTACATACAGTAAGTCCTGTCATACAGAGTTGGTATTGATATACACAATTAGTTACAGGCAGAGAGGACAATTTATAATGAAGAATAGGGAAATGGCAGAGAACCTAACCAATTACTTTGTGTTTATCTTCACAGAGGAAGATACAGAAAATCTCCCAGATATATTAGGCAACCAAAGGACGTGAAACTGAAAGAAATTAGTCTAAATAAAAAGGCAGTAGTTGAAAAATTATTTGGATTGGAAGGTTGATAAATCCCCTGGACCAAACAAGCTACATTCGAAAGTGTTGAAGTAGATGGCGATAGAGATAGAGCATGCATAGGTAGTTATCTTTTAAAATTCTGTAGATTCTAGAAAGAATTCCTGTAGGCTAGAAAGGTGCAAATGTAACCCCACTATTTAAACATTGAAACATAGAAAATAGGTGCAGGACTAGGCCGTTCGGCCTTCGAACCTGCGCCACCATTCAATATGATGATGGCTGATCATATAATTTCAGTATCCCACTCTTACTTCCTCTCCATACTTCTTGACCCTTTTAGCCGCAGGAGCCACATTCAGCTCCCTCTTGAATATATCTAATGAACTGGCCCCAGTAGCTTTCTGTAGGAGCAAATTCCATAGGTTCTCAACTCTCTGTGTGAAGAAATTCTTCCTCATCTCAGTCCTGAATTGCTCACCCCTTATTCTTAGACTGTGACCCCTAGATCTGGACTTCCCCAACATCGGGAACCTTCTTCCCGCATCTAGCCTGTCAAGTCCCATCAGAATTTTATATGTTTCTATGAGAACCCCTTAATTCTTCTAACTTCCAGCAAGTAAAAGCCCAGTCAATCCAGTCTTTCCTCATATGTTAGTCCTGCTACCCTGGGAATCAGTCTGGTGAACTTTTGCTGGACTTCTCAATAGTCCTTCCTCAGACTAGGAGACCAAAACTGCGCACAATACTCAAGGTGTAGCCTCACCAAGGACCTGTATAACTGCAGCAAGAAATCCTCGCTCTGATGCTCAAATCCTCTCGCTATGAAGGCCAGCATGCCATTAGCTTTCCTCACTGCCTGCTGCAGCTGCATGCCAACCTTCAGCAACTCGTCCACCATGACACCCAGGTCTCGGTGCACTTCACCTTTTCCTAAACTGCCACGATTCAGATAATAATCTGCCTTCCTGTTTTGACCACCAAAAAGTGGATAACCTCACATTTATCTACATTATATTACATTTGCCAAGTATTTGCCAACTCAGCCAGTCTGTCCAAGTCACCCTGCAGCCTCATAGCAACTTTCTCACAACACACGCTGCCACCTAGCTTAGTGTCATCTGCAAATTTGGAGAGTTGTGAGGAAGGGTCACCAGACCCAAAATGTTAACTTTGATTTCTCTTCACAAATGTTGCCATATCTGCTGAGCTTTTCCAGCAACTTCTATTTTCATTTCTGATCTACTGATTCACCCTTGTCCACTCTACTGGTCATGTCTTCAAAAAATTCCAGATTTGTCAGGCATGATTTCCCTTTAGTGAATCCATGCTGACTAGGACCAATTCAGTCACTGCTTTCCAAATGTACATCCTTAATAACTGACTCCAGCATTTTCCCCAATACCCATGTCAGACTAACCAACCTATAATTCTCCATTTTCTCTCTCCTTCCTTTTTTAAAGAGTGGAGTTACATTAGCTACCCTCCAGTCCATTGGAACTCTCCCAGAGTCTATAGAATGCTGGAGAATGATCACCAATGCATCTGCTATTTCTAGGGCCACTTCCTTAAGTACTCTGGAATGTAGAGCAGCAGGCCCTGGGGCTTGTCAGGTTTTAATCCCATGAATTTCCCCAATACCATTTCCTGACTAATAAGGATTTCCTTCAGTTCCTCCTCCTTGCTTAACCCTCTGTCCCCTAGCATTTCCTGAAGATTATTTTTGTCCTCTTTAGTGAACACAGATCCAAAGTACTTGTTCAACTGGTCTGCCATCTCTTTGTTGTCCATTATTAATTCATCTGATTCTAACTACAAGGTACCTACATTTGTCTTCACCAGTCTTTTACTCTTCATACATCCACAGGGGCTTCTGCAGTCAGTTTTTATGTTTTCCGCAAGCTTACTTACATATCCTATTTTCTCATTCCAAATTAAACCATTTGTCCTCCTCTGCTGAATTTTAAATTTCTCCCAGTCATCAGGTTTGCTGCTTTTTCTGGCCAATTTATATGCCTCCTCTTTGGTTTTAACACTATCTCTGATTTCCCTTGTTAGCCATGGTTGAGGAATCTTCCCTATTTTAGTCTTAAAAGAGAGGAAGAATGGAGAACTATAAACCTGTTACTTTGACATCAGTAGTAGGAAAAATGGTAGGATGTATTATAAAGAATACGATAAAGAGACTTAGAAAATATGCTACTGGGATGAGTCAAAACAAATCCACAGAAGAGAAATTGTATTTGATAAACCTGTTGGAGTTTTTTTAAGGATGGTACTAGCAGCGTAGATAAATGTGAACAAGTGGATGTGGATGAGATTTGTCACACACAGAAGGTTAGTAAATAAAATTAGAATGCATTGGATTGAGGGAATATACTAGTATGGATTGAGAATTACGTTACAACACAGGGATAGCAAGCCAAATCAAATCAGCCTCACAATCACTGGAGTTGCAACACAGTAAAATTAAAACATTCAATGACGCTCAAGATTGCTCAATTGTTCCTAACCAGACTTTATAAATAATAGATCTCAGACACCAAGTTTATAACATAAATACAAATTAATAATTTACAATGAAGAATGTAACTTTAGAAGAACACAAATAAACTACAGGGTAATCTATGTTTATGATTAAGCCCAATCTTCTTTGATCAGAAACCCCCACTCACACACTGACAGACAGAATTAAGGGATAAATTAGAAAAGAAAATAAAGAATTGTAATATGCCAATTTCATAACTGTCTCAACAATGAATACCAGGCTTTATGAAATCCTTGGACAATGGGTTGTATTACTCGCATGAAGGACTGTGCATCTTGCTTGAATTGTAGAGTCATTGTTCAATGCAAACAGTTTCTGCAGACTTCTGGAGAATTTTACTGATTTCTTACAGGCGAGAATTCTTTTCTCAGAACTTTCAACAAGTTAAAAACTGGAAAATAACTAGAGACAGCAAAACGAAGAAACACAGCCCCATTCTGGAAGCTTCTAAAACAAAACTGCTTTCTACCCAAAACTCGGTCTGAACCAGTTGATTCTTTTTAATTTTTTTCACAATTCTCCATGATTGGCTAGCCAGCACCAGTCCTCCTTTGGTTAACAAGTTCAATATCCATCCAGTTGCGAGCCTTGAGCAGAGCAACATCTTGGTTCCAGCAAGTCTACAATGTCCTTAAAGCTGTATTAACTAAATTAACCTGCCTTATCTTTCCAGTCCAGTTCCCAAATGAAAAGACCTGTCTTTTGTTTATAGAACATAGAACAGTACAGCACAGTACAGGCCCTTCGGCCCACAGTGTTGTGCCGAATTTTTACCCTAAACCTAAGGTCTAACTAACCTCCACCCCTACTTTATACTATCATCCATATGCCTATCTAATAGCCACTTAAATGC